CCAAAATAAGCGGCAGGAAAAGGATGTAACAATTTATTATGATTAAATTATAATTATAATTATCTGCAATAATTACCTTCTACTATACGTAGATCATGTTCAAGGTGACCCGCTCGCATTCTGTAGGAAGCCGGGGGGCAGTATGTCGGTTAGGGTCATAATATATACAAAAACAGTATGTTCTCTGCAGGCTTACCTTACAAACAAAAGTTATTTGCTGTTATTCGAGAACTATACGAAACCTCTTCCATGTGGAATAACCCATGTATATCCTGCTAAAGTCTAATATTTAAGAACAGATCATCACACTTTTCCTTAAGGCTCCGGAACATACCACTCTCTTTGAGTCAAGACAGGCTTTCACTTTATACCAGAATCAGCTGTGAAATATCCGAAGTTTTCAGGTTAACGAGAAGTAACCATATCACTTATCTCTTATGCTAAACGTTCAACTTTCTAATATAGTCATTTTTAATAAGAAAGTAGCAAGTTTTACCATTTTGGTTTTTTCTTCCCAAAACCCAGTCGATTTTTTTCAGTCGAAAACTATGGGAAGGACGGTGCTCAGACAATCAGATATCAGACGTCCGGAGGATCCGCAGTACCAAGGAACTGATACCCCTGAGAAAGTATAATGGCATTGGAGGGTACGCTCACATTCCGCAATGAATTTGTTTCGTGAACTGAACGGGACAGAATTTATCATTCACTTCTCGTCGTATCCCTCTTTTCAAGGTTGGGTTAGCATAATGGTAGCTCATCTCTACAACCTGAATTTTTCCGCCACTGCTTAACTAACGTAAAGGAAATGCTCTGAAAACATTTCAAAGCTCTTCTTGGGCCAGAATTCCAATGCATTTATGTGTAAACGGACAGAATATACAAAATGTAGAACACCATTGTTAATAATCGCACTTTGACTGTCTTCTCATTGAAACGTATTTTTATTACATCTTATACGGTTCCCCTTGAAAATCATGAGAAATCAAAAAATATGCAATTAAACGCGATAAATTTGCCGTTAATTACCGATCGAGCACCAGTCTTTTCAAGTATATAGGTCATAACGGCTTCGGAATCTGAGATTTTAGGTACTTCCACATTCTTGATGTCACCGGCGGGCAGATGATAGGAATTCAGCAATGCCAGCGCTTTCTTACAAAAAGGGCAAGTTGCTCGTGTGAAAACTACAACTTTGTTGTTCTTCACCAGATTTTCGACGTATTCGGCAGCCGACTGCATTGTTTCTTTACCCTGAACCGAGTATCTGCAAAAAAAACTGTTCAAATGGTGAACAATATTTAAACATGAAGAAATAACAGCTAATCTAACCATAAAATTTGATCCGGTGACTGACTCGTTTAAACCAATATTTGTCAGCGACATTTAACAGCAGTGAAACACAAACTTGTTCCCAAAAACCTATGACATTAGTAACACACTGTTAATAAAACTAATAACAGGATTAGTAATAAGATAATCTCTTCATTTGCTGATTCATGGTTAAATGAAACGGTTTCCACAATACGTTCTAAAACTCTCTGTTCACCAGTTGTTTCCCTTGTGTAATGACGCTTCCCGAAGATGGATCAAACATAATTCGAAATACTGGAGAATTTCAACACAGTAAATTTTCCATGCGACATCAGGAATCTTTCGAATTTAAAAGTTGATAATAATATTAATAAAATTAAATCACATAAAATTAACTTTAGAAAAGAGTAAAATATTTTTGCGGTGGAGCGAACCAACGCGATGAAGATTTAATGGGTGATGTACAATCGGC